GATTGGGTTGATTGGTTGGTTACAGGTCCAGCAGCATGTCACTGGCGGACGAGATCCGCAAACTGGGAGCCCTCGTCGGGACGGACAGCGGGTCTGGAGGTGAGGGGTCGGCCCCGACCTCGACACCGGAGCCATTGGAAGGCTCCGCGGCGGGCAGTGATGCCGCGGCGGAAGCCAGACCGGTGGCCAACTCGGTCGTTGAGGTGAGTTCTGCGCGGTTCGGGGGGAGTGTGGCCTCGGTGGCCGCCGTGATGCCCTCCGAGCCCCGGGGCAGTGGGCCTTTCCCCGTTCGTGGGTCTGGCGAGCCATCTCCGGAGGTGGAGGACGCCTCCATGTCCGCGTCTGCTGGGGACGCGCTGGAGATCGGCAGCGGAGCCGCGCAATTGGAGCTCGCGGCGTACCTGGGGGAGGAGCCAATTCCCTTGGCGACTCCTTCCGGGGCGCCGTTTTCCGCTGTCCGGTCTCTGCCGCGTGCTGAGCGGCTGGCGCGGGAACGCCGGGCCAGTGAGGCCTTGGTGGCCAGGATGGTCCCGGTGGAGGCCTCTCCACTGAGGGGTAGGTCGGAGTGGGACAATAGTCTCAACTCCGGCCCGGCTCGCCAGGCACTGCCGTTGCAGAGGGCGCTGGCCAACCTGGCCGCCCGCGGGCCGCGGCAGGAAAAACTGGTGGGGCGCCTGTACGCGGGCTCGCCCATGGGGCTCCGGACGGCACGGACCCGGGGTCTGCAGGCTCTCGTTGAGCCACGTAACCCCGGTCTGAGCACCGAGTTACGGTGTCCGGGAGCCCGGAACGTGCTCCCGGCGATTCGGGAGAAGCCGCGTCCATCTCGCGGCCACTCGAGAAGGGATGAAATCCCTCTCGAGTATCGTTTCCTCCCGGCGTCGGGGGTACAAGCGGAGCAGCTGAAGCGTGTGGCGCTCCCAACTGTCGCGACCGGGGGCCGGGGCCTCTACCCTCCCGCGGGATACAGGGAGGAGGCGACCCCTCAACCGTCTCGTAAGAAGAGGTCTGGGCGGCTGCCCGATTTCACCAGGGACGTAGAGTTCCGCTACATCGGTGAGGAGCCAACTCCTCGACAGGAGGAGTTTCCTCAGTGCCGATCGTCGGCGGAGCCGGACGCGTCCGGTGAGGTTGGGTGCCCCCAGCAGGAGACGGTGAGGGCCAGTTCCCCACTTGTGGGGAACTCGGATTCGTCTCCACCCGCGGGACTGGTGGGGAAGGCCCCGTCGACGTCTCCATCCGAGGCTCGGGTTGGTCTGGTGCCGGAAGCCGCGACGACCGCGACACCTTCACCTACCCTGGAGACGGGTTTGTCCGTCCCCGCCTCGGCGTCGTCTTCGCGTCGGGTCGTGGGTGATGATGGTATCGTCTACCGCCTTTGCGGTGACGGCCATTTTCGCCCTGTGACCCGAGCGGGGGGGCGGCGCACGAGGAAGGGGATTGAGGCCAAGCGGGTCTCTCCAGCGCGCACCGCGGTCGACCATCAGACCGCCGATGGCGCACTGGCAAGCCGGTGTCAGCTGCCTCGGCCCGGGGCCAGAGCCGCCGCCGCCAAGCAGGGCACGCCATCGCCCACCTCAGTGGCGGCTAGGCGTCGGGCTCGACGCCGGCTTCTGGCTGAGGTCCGAGCTCGGGCCGAGCGGGGCTCACCAACCACGGAGCCGCCAGTGCTCCCAACGGCACAAGCGACGCCATCAACATCTTTGGCGCCGGAGACGCCACTACCACCTGTGGCGTCGGTGACGCCCTCACCACCATCGGTGTCACCAGTGCCGTCGGCGCCGAGGCCGGCCTCTCGTGTGAGGGTCCTGGCTTACCTTGCCGGGCTGTCCCGAGAGGATCGCCTGCGCCTTGTGGAGGAGGCTGGTCAGGTCTCGCAGCCTCCCGCCCGTGAGGGTGGCCAGTAGGTGAGGCCACGCGGGACCCAAGATAAGTGGCGCTCTGAACCCCGCAATGACGCATGGTTTCGGTTTCGTTTTTTCTCTTTCTGTATTTGTAGTTTCTTTTGTTGTTCCGTTATAGGTAGTGATGACCCACCATTCCTGTTCGCTCGTGGTCAGCGAGATGCGAACCTCCCCGGGCAGAATTGCCGTCGGGCCGAGTTTGCACTCGGGACCCAGCCCGGGTGTGACGCACGGACGATGAGAGCGGGGGATAGCTCCCGATCCTGGTACAGGATCGGTTGCTACGGGGGGGCTGTGACGGAGAATTTCGGCTCGCCGACTTCTCCTTCGTCTCTCTCTCGTCCGTTCGCTACACTCGGGCTGAGAGTGTGTTGGTATACACTCTCATGCCTGGTTTTTCTCTGTTTGAGGTGCGGCGAACGGGCATTGGCGGAGCTGGATGCGGCCGACGAGCTGGCGATCCGTTGCCAGGATCGTCATGCGGGGGAGCGAGCGGAATGGGGAGAGCGCGGCCGAGGGGGGAAATCGGCAGTTTCGTTTGGGCTGGCCGATCGCGTGCGCGCGTTTTGTTTTCGTTCGTCGCCGTTTTGGATTTTCCGTGGGTTTTTGGAAGCGGTGCGGTGCTTCGCCACGTTTTTTTTGTTTTGTGGATGCGCACCCGGTGTGTGGGCGCGCATCGGTGGTTCATTTTTGTTGTAAGTGAGGAGTGAGTGGCTGGGTCGCGCCCAGCCAAGCCTTGCCGCCCAGCACCGGTGTGCGTGGGTAAGGGCGAAGCCCGTACCGCCGGCGCGCGCGTGTTCGGCGAGCGAATCCGGCGAGCGGCTGAGCAGTAGGACCAGCAGCAACAGCAGCCGCAACAGCCGCAACAGCAACAGTAACAGCAACAACATCAGCAGCAGCAGCAGCAGCAAGCCGCATCCGTTGACCGGGAGCGGCCATCTCCACCTGAGGTCGCCGTTGGGAAGGTCGGTGCCGGTTTTCTCTCTCTCTCTCTTCTTCTCTCGCTCTCTTGCATGTCCGGGGTGTTCGCGGGTGCAACGGTGCAGGTCGGGCAGTGATGCCGGCCCCCATTGCCGGGTGTTGAGGTCGCGAGTGCGTTCGCGGGCGCTTAGGCTTAAGCGGATTATCGGGCAGTGATTGCCGATAATCCGATTAAGCGGACTAGCGATTTTTGTAATAGGCCGATTTGCGAGACGGAGTGCGCGTGCTCCGTCTAATTATTAATTTGTGTGTTTTTCTTTCATTTTCTTTTATTGTGTTTGTATTAATAAATTAATAATATATATATATATATGTGTCATATATTATTGCGTTAACCCGTTCGTTTTCCCGATTTTCCTTCAATTCGTGCCCGATTGGCACACACGCTCGCTGTGCCATTCAGTCGTGGGAGCATTCGTGCCTCCCGAGCCCTCCTTTGATAAATATTGTGCGGACGGCCGCGAGCAAGTATTCTTCAACGAATAGTCGGCCCTTATAACTCCGTTACACTATTTACATAAATTTTAATGCTACGTAATTAAATTGAGGGTATATACACTGATAAATATTATTTTTTATCCAATTTCCTACCTTATAAAATCTTTGATTCATTAGGTAATGAGTTAAAAGTTTTTACTGCAAGTATATAACCACTGTTTTGAAATAAAGCATTTTGACTATATGTAATTAAATCTTTCTAAATGTTTATTCCACTGCTAGAATTCGTATATTTATTTTTTAATTCTTTATATTGGTGAGCTAGTGATTCAAGAATCTATTGTTTTTCAAACTTAAAGGATATTTTTTATAAATAATTTTTTTTGTACGACCGTTAGCAATTTGTTTTATATGTATTGTATAAGACAGATAAGGGATAGTTTCATAAGGCAGTCTTTGCGTCTGTCCAGTGAAAAATATCTCTTCATTTAATACACACTTTGAAAGTACATGCACAGTATTGGGAGAGTAATATTTTTGCAATGGGTTGTTTCACCCAGTTTATAGAAAATAAAAATAAAATATATGGTTTGCAAGGCTATTAATGTACAGATTCTATTTCAGAGCAAAATTAGTCATAATTCCTAGGCCACCTAATTCCTATCATATAAAATTAATAAAAATTAATTCTTTGCAATACAATACAAAAAGAAATCTATAAGATATGTGATAATCTAAAAATAAACATTGAAACTATATAAAAATAACTCAACCAGAGAAATGGGTTTCTTTACCTACCTTATTCGTCCAACAAAGACTCTTTAATATTTATTCGTTTATTCGATCAAAGCAATTAAGAAAGTTTTAATTTGAGTACTACTTTTATAAACACCGTTTTTAAGCCAATTGTTTGAAAATTTTAATTTGAAAGTTTGAGAATAGAATCATCATAATAAATAAAAGAACCATAGATCTAAATAAAACTTCTTAAAGTTTTATTTGGAACTCTGGTTTTTAAATTTAGGAAAGCTACCTTAATTAGACAAAGAAATTTTTTACAATACTTGTTTGATTATACTTAAATGATTTTTAGCTTCAAATAATGATCTCCTAAATTTAAAAATAAATTTCAACAAATAATGTCATTGACATATTTTTTTCAGTAATGACAATAATGAATAGTACATAAATTTGAAGAAATATATCTTTAAAAAAAAAGTTAACTCTCCCACCAGCATTGATTAAAAGCCTAAATGTTATTAACTAAATCAAATAAAAATTATATTATATTAATAGTGAATTAAGTAATACAAATTTCATGAGAATGTTGAAAAATATTATGAATTTAGACAGATTAATAGATGAAAATTTATATTACTAAATTCATTTATTAATACCAAAAAAAGTTGATATTTTTTAAGTAACTGTTACGTATTATTTTAGAATCCTTCTGCTTCAATAATACAAATAAATCAATTAATAACCAAACCATTTTGTAAGATCATGTAATTTATTTTGAAAATCTTAATTTCAAAAAATGAAAGCTCAATTTTCAAACCTGTAAATTTATTTTTCCATAACTGATTATAAACTATCAATGAAAATAATTTTAAAACAATTGACATTTGAGTATCTCCAGCAAGATAAAAAAATTAGACTTATATGATAACTCCTTACCTCCAATTCTGCTTTTTCTAAATCATCCAATAGATTTTCCATTTTTAAATGCATTATTTTGCAATAAATTTAGGTCACGTTTTCAATCAGTGGTAATAAATCAAAAAAATACTATTAAATACAAGTCACTTTATATATCGACTAAATAATTACATCACTCTATTACTGGAAAGATTATGTATCATTATCATATTAATATTAGAATATTTATTCTTTATTCTATTTCTATTATTATATACAAAAGCAAAGTAAGAATCCATCCATGTATAAAAACGAAATGAGAAGTTCTAAGACGTATGTTATATATATGTATTTTGTCAACACCTAAGCAGCCGAATTAAACCAAACACACAGTATTTTCTACCAAGCATTCCCTTTCGTTATCAAAAATTATGTGACTTGACCGTTATAGTACTGTTTATATTGTATTTAACCTTAAAATAAAAAATACCGCTTCTAAAATCGTAATGATCAATTAACATGATTAAAATTGCTACCGCTTCAGAAACAAGTATCAAAAATTAATTAATTAACGTGTGTCTTATCAAATACATGTAATAATAAAAGTCTCGATATAACCATATTCATTAATTTACTATTACGGGTGTGTACTTGGAATAAAGCACTATTATATTGTATATAACGCTCAATTTTGATTTTACTGTAGATTTAATTTATATTTCTCATTACAGAAAATCAAATCTATTGTTAATCAAAGTAATTTAACAACTTGTTATTGGATTAAAAATGTTTCCCAAGGGATTCCCAATTCTATTCATGTAATTTATGTAACGAAGCTGACAAATTTAAGTACTGATATCAGTTTATATACTAACAAATTTCATAAACATGATAATTTTAATATGTTGAAAAAAATAATTATTCCTTTTTAAAAAAATTAATATTAACATAGTTTGCTGAACTGCTACAAATATTTGTTCAACAGTTCAGCAGATATGGAAAATATTTAAATTCGTTTTAATTTTCTAAATTCTCTAATTTTCTCACTAAGACTTACAGTAACAGTTATATATTCTCATTTATCAATTAAATTGATTTGTGCATTATTTACATAAAAAGTCATCATATGAGGCCAGTATAGATACATCCTGAAAATTATAAAATTATCTATTTAAAAATTAAAAAAAGATTTTCAGTAAGATTATCAATTTCCATGCAAGCGTTATCACTGGTTTTGTTTTGTGTCATTTCTTATGTTTATGAGAAAATTAAAAATATTCAATTATTGTCTTTATTATAGCATATAGATTAAAAAGTAACTAAAATCTTTTTCATTTTCCTTTAATACCAGAAAGACATAAAAGAATCTTATGTCTAATAAAGAAACATTGGTTTTTTTATAAATCCATTTGGTACACTTGGTCTCTGTTACTGCATATTTTGAGATATATAAAAACATTTTAGTTATATTTAAAGCATGCTTTGCAAGAATTCGTATAAATATTTTCTTATTGGAGTAGATACTAATCTTTATTTTCTGAGAAGGTATTTGTTCTGTTTTGAAAAAATTTATAAACAAATAAAATTATTTAGAATAAATTTAATAACATTTTTATTTTAATGTTCTGGTCATTTTTTATTAATTTATAATTTTTAGATGAAAAAAAAACCTTTTACATAAATGCAGTAATTTTATTCTAAATGTACACAAGCCGTGCAGAAGAATTTATTATTAATAACAGTTTTGAAATCTTCAATAAAGTTGAATATGTATGTACGTTCCACAACCCCCCCTTACCCTAGCTTGCAAAATGTAATGGACAGTGAAAATAAAAATTACCATTCGAAATATCTCTAATTGAACCCTCTAAAAATGCTTATTATTTTAATTAAACCCCTTCAGTTGTCCCAAAAAAAATTAAAAACTATGATAATTTTTTCGTTTTTTGCAACTGCGATATCTTTAGTAATACTTAATATTTTTGCTAAGAAACAAGGCAAAATAATTGAACCCTTGCTCGTTTTAATTGCATCCCTCTTACTTTTTCAAAATTATTAATATATATGTCAATAACAAGAATCTAATTTTATTGTATGTTCTTTCTAAATAGATTATTGGGTTATTGGGTTATTTGGAAAGAACATACAATAAAATTAGATTCTTGTTTTTGACATATATATTAATAATTTTGAAAAAGTAAGAGGGATGCAATTAAAACGAGCAAGGGTTCAATTATTTTGCCTTGTTTCTTAGCAAAAATATTAAGTATTACTAAAGATATCGCAGTTGCAAAAAACGAAAAAATTATCATAGTTTTTAATTTTTTTTGGGACGACTGAAGGGGTTTATAATAAGCATTTTTGGAGGGTTCAATTAGAGATATTTCGAATGGTATTTTTTATTTTCACTGTCCATTACATTTTGCAAGCTGGGGTAAGGGGGGTCGTTCCACAATCAAAAATTCTAGTGACTTCAGGAGCACTTTGAGCACTCTTACTTTTTTCATTTCCTGTAATATTCATTAACATATTAAGCACAAATTACTTTTATCAACGGTGTGTATTGTATTGTAATGTATTGTAATGTATTGTAACGGAGAATCTCGGCTAGGCTGATTTCGTCCGTCTGGCTCTCGCAAATAGCGAGGTGTGCGGGTGCGCGCGTGAGCAGTCTTCGATACCGCTGAAGTACCGAGCAACCGAGAGGCAGCGGAAACAACGACAACAGCAACGAGCGGAATGACAGAATAAGGCAGTAGTATTGTAAAGCGAACGAGAAAACGAGAAAGAGGAAAACAGCGATGACAACAAACACTAGCGAGACGGTCAGCGAGGAGCACACCAGTGACGTCACACTGCAGAGCGCTCTAGCCGTCAGAGAGGCTGAAGGTCGAGGTCGGTGCCGTGTTTTTCTCTCTTATCGGTAGCTTATGGGTAGCACGGCAGACCTGTTGGCTACCCCGTTCATGAATTAACGGCGGAAAGTGTTTTGTCGGGAATTTGTTGTAACATTTTGTTTTAGACAGGGAATCGGCAGGCTGACCAGCCACCGATTCACCTTCGCGTTCGGAATTATTATTGTGCCGCTCGCAGTGTATAGGCGTAAGATTGCCGTCTTGTAATCTATTGTTGACATGTAAATGATTAGTGTGTTAATCCGCTGTTGTGTTTATTCGTCACTGTATCACTCCTCATCCCGACTTCGAATCTCTGCGTTTAACATGGTTGTGCTCGACGCGTTATTCAGTCGTGGGCACGTCTTTTGCTTCCCGAATCCCCAAATAAAGAATTTGTGCGGACGGTTGCGAGCTATCCAGACGGGAACGGTCGCTGATTCTCCGTTACAGTATATGGTCGATACAAGATACTTCAGAAGTCATAACATCAATATTAATGATTCGCCTCGGTTAGTGTACCACGCACACAAGCTCACAGTCAAATCTAGAAAAGTGAAAAGTATAAGAAATGCCTTATATATATACACGTAATTGAACTAGAGGGACTCCAATTTTGTTCCCTTCCCCCTCCCTCTCTCTAAAAATTTTGTTCAGAAAGAGTTCCAGGACCCAAAAATCTAAATAAGCTACTATGAGATCTTTGAAATATTTTGCTTCCTTTTCTTTATATAAAACGTTCCCTTGCTCACAACGCTTGACAGCCTTTATTAAAATATACAGAATACAAACAGAATGCATGTGTCTGAAGTTTGAAACGTTACGCGTAAACGAAAAATCGAAAAAAAAAATTAATATCTAACATGCTATATGGCATGCTATATAATATCATATATCAATTGCTACCCGCTAAAACCACCCTTGCTGGAGTCCATATATGTTCTACAATCTACTGACGAGTATACTTTTGGCAGTCTTTAATTAGACAAGAATAATGAGACCAGAGTCTATTTCAATATGAAATACAATTCGATATAAAATATAATTTTTTTATGGTAACAAGTCATTGCGCAAAAATTATCGAACAGAAAGTATTTTATTGCAAGAATATTGCTTACACGAACATGTAAAAAAATTATCGAGGACGGAGTCCCCATAGGGGGCCCTTCGAATATGACCTTTTGAATAAAGTTGTGTTGCAATAATAAGTCGGTGTGCAAAGATTATCAAACAAGAAATATTTTATTGCAAGAATATTTCTTATTGTAATAAAATTATCGAAGACCGTTTTTCCATAGAGCTGCCCTACCGCCTTTCGAATAGAACTGTTTCGGTCAATTTCCTAGTTTTATTGCAATAACAAGTCAGTGCACAAAAATTATCGAGCAAAAATTGTTTATCTGCGTGAATTTTGTTCATTCATACATGTGTAAAAAATATCGATGATCGCATCCATATAGGGCGTTTCGTGTGTCCCTTTGAATTTCACGTTTTTAGAAAATTTTAAAATCACCCCTATAGCTATTAGTATGAACTGTTTATGCTTAATAGCTTTCAATTACTTATCGGTTATTGATTACAAAATGGAATCTGATCATGAATTAGAAAAACATCCCGTGCTTACACTATACAGCCTATGGGTAAAAAAGTTCGATTTTGACAGACTGTAACTGTTAAACTAAGATTCTTGGAGATTTGGGCCTATGAAGATTTTTGTTCTACGTGATAAGGACTATCATCTTACAACGTTTCAAAAAAATAAGCTGAAAGCCATTACCTAAAAAGATTTTTGGCTGTAATTAATTATGGATGCAGGTGTGTACGAGGAGTCTCGTGTAAAAGGAAATTAGGTAAATAGGACACTCAAAATCATGATCACGTCTTATGTAAGCCGTGATCATAAGAGCTGGGATGAACACCGGTCAGAGTTCAACTTCGCGTTGAACTCGGCAACTCATAGCGCCACGGGATATAGTCCTGCGATGCTCATGTTTGTACGTCAGCCGGTACCTCCTTTAACGTTCAGAAGAACCCAAGATCAGCAGGTCCTTGAATGTTCGGAGGGTCAAGCTGTGGTGGATTGGGCTGAACATATGGAGAAGCTCCCTAATTTATGGGAGAGGGCCAACTCCAAGTCAAAGGAGGAAGCTGCGCGTCAGGCGACTTATTATGACCGGAAGAGACGGCAACCCGAGTTTAAGGTCGGAGATTGGGTTTGGAAGAGGAACAGGATTCTCTCTTCGGCTGCCCAAAGCATTTCAGCCAAATTGGCGCCGAATTATGCCGGTCCGTACGTGATTGAAGAGGTTTGTAGTTCCAACACGTACAGATTAGCCAATCAGCTGGAGATCCTACCCAAGCTCTTCCATGCCAAAGACCTTAAACCGTACTACGGTCCGGGTGAGGATGAGGAAAGCGAGGAAGTCATCGAACCTCGCGGGCCGCAAAATAACCAGCCGTCGGAGGAGGGGAACGATTCCGCGAATGCGTACGAAAATCCGGGAGAGGATTTACCAAGCGAGCGGATCGAATTAGCAGTCCCTACTGCCGTACATAAGGATAAGACCAAGAGAGGTCGAGGTCGACCTCGAAAGGTCCCAGAGACGGTCACTGGTCCAGTAAGAGGCAACAACTCTCCCATGAAGGAAACTAGAGGGAGAGGTAGGCCTCAAAAGACAGTGCCCGTCGTGCAAAGGACAGTTGGGCCGATAAACCCGAACGGTAACCAACGAGGGCCAGGACGTTCCCGCAAAGAATCGCGAGGGAATGTATAACTTGGTGGGATGCGGCGTATATTAGGGTTTTTCTTCGCGCAGAGAGTTTTATCCGAGATTTTTTGTTTTGGATGTTACAGATGTATCGGAGAATCGTCGTCGAAGAGGAGACCTTCGAGGTGGTCACGCAGATGCTATTAGATCTGCAACTGGGCCCTGATGCGACGCAGTTAATTGAAGA